GAGAGAGAGAGAGAGAGAGAGAGAGAGAGAGAGAGAGAGAGAGAGAGAGAGAGAGAGAGAGAGAGAGAGAGAGAGAGAGAGGCTCAGAGGTCGATAATCATAATCAGGGGTCAGTAGTGTTGCTAGCTGCTTTCAACGTTTATTTATATCGTAAGCTCAGGGTTCAGGCTGTTCAATGTCTATGTGAGAGTGGAAATCGATTACAAATGAGCCAGCACTGTAAACATACACTGTTGGTACTGTTGGTATGCTTCGTGAGCCTCGTGATGCTTCGACCTTTGTCAAATACATAGCTGTAGGCCTGGCAAGGATGGCAACCGTTCCAAAAAGAAACTGTCATGCTGTAAAGTCTCGAGACGTATTTTTGTAATTATCTTCTATGTTGCCAAGCATAACATTCAGGCAATAGGCAACTTTACTCGTACGATCGCGGAATCAAATCAACTACTGAACCTGAATCCATGCACGTCGTTGAACATAACCCGCGCCCCACTGGGGTCTGTGTATGACACGCCCCACTGGGGGCCTCCTAAATCCGAAACTACTGGGCCGATCGTCAAAATTCAAACAGCATCTGATAACCCCGGAATAACTGTCGAAGGAAACCTAATTTTATTCACTTGGAGGTCACTGATGACCTCACAGGTCAGGTCAAAGTAAAAATTATCGATATTTGGCTTGTTCACTTTTTGGGCTCTGGCTGCCGTCTTACAAGTCAAATCAGGCTGATTTTTGGTGTACACACTCGTGTACAGATGCTTTAGATACCCTGAGGGTACCAAACTTGTACTTTGATTTTCAGGTCAGAGTCAGGTCATCATAGGTCACGGAAATCTTATATGTCATAAGTCGGTCACGTGTCACATGTTTTATGGTCCATTTAGGCCATAAATTTCGAATTCGGTGTCGCCTGTGTCATTTGAGGCCATTTTCATCTAAATGTAGCTGAGGTCATGTCACTTTCAGGTCAAAAAAGGTCAAATTTCAAAGTTGAAAATTTTCATTAAAAAACATGTCTATCGGATGCAGTTTGTGTTCAGGAACACGATGGGGCTATTTGAATTGGTGTACGATGTCAAAAGCGTACTGAAAAATTGATTTGAAAAATTTATAATTGTGATTTTTTTTGCAATAATGCGTATAACTTGGCCATTTTTGAAGATATTTAGCTAAAACTTGCTAGAGTTAGTCATAACCATGTGATCTATCACATATGTTCCGTTTTTTTTTCTCGAAAAGTAAAAAAAATTGGAAAAAATATAAAATATAAATTTTGAATTTTATTAATATAATTTCCAAAATTTCAGAATTTTGAAAATCCGAGATAGCAGTTTGATAGCACAGTCAGTTTTGAGTCTTCTTATGCAAAGAAATTGGATCTAGCTTAAAAACTGAGCTCTTGTGAGCGATTGCCGTGGTTCAATGTTTTGCGTCGAAATCGGCCGAACATGACGTCACTTTGACGTCATTTCCGGCCAACCTATCGTAGCTACGAGGTTCATATTTTGACACAAGGTGTCAAATTCATTCAGCCGAAGGTACTGAAAGTTTGACGTCGATATGCCAAGCGGTTTGGAAGTTGCTGCAGAAAAACGGCACGGGGGCTATGAATGCCCCCCCCCGTGGGGCGCGGGATAATTTACCGTCTCATTATCTAGATCTGTATTCTGCAGAACCCGCTATGTAATTGCCATTGAATACTGGGCGTAGATGCTGCAGCCTAGACAGTTCCTACGTGACTAATTCCACGTCTAATTGAAGCCCCGTCCTTCATTTTTCTACGCCGAACAAACCCAGTGATTTGATAGGCTGACTGTCCCGTACCGACGTGCGGTAGTTAACATATTAAATTTATTGAACAGCCCTCTGGCCTCTGGTTATGATACGGGCCTGCTCCGTCCTATGAGCGCAGCGGGAGGTCGCCGCCGCTTTCCCCCGGGGCGTTGTCGGTCACGTGACCGTGGCGCGGCCGGCAGAGGGATGCGGGCAGACGGCCGGCAGATTGTGGACTTATTTTTGAGAGAGAATACATACTTTCAACTGTCTAATAGTCTTAAAACTCCACTGTCTATTATGTTCTTGCTACTAGACCGAAACAAGAGCCATCAAACGAAGACTATATTGTTTATCAAGCAGCGCAAGTGAGGCCGAGAAAATGAATATCAAGATGTCTGCCGCAGCACAACAATGCACTACGATAGCTGTAAGTGTTTAGCCTGGTGTTTTTTCCTACACTGTTATGCGAGATCATGCATCCAGAAAGCAATGCAGCATTTGTCGCGACTTCAACTGGTCGAAACTAGTTAATATGCATGATGCTTTTGTGCTTTGCAGAACTCTAAGACACTGGTATCCTTCGCAGCAGTGACAAGTCTGTAATTTAGCCCGACAACGTCTGTTCGGTAATGGATGTCTCTGAGCAGGTCAGTACTCGGTTGCACGACATTGTCCGCTTTTGATGATCATTCGATGTGCGAGAGCCATTTGTAGACAACTGCTTGTAATCACGAAGTCAGCCGCTTTGGTCGTTGATAGGCGTGCCATTTTCAACGTTAATGAAATGACGCAGTTGCTTTTTTAGGCTTCCCTCGTATCACCATGCACTATATTATTACGTAAATATTTTTGTATCATATGCTAAGAGACTTGGCAATAATAAACATTGCAAATGGTAGGAGCAATCAACTGAAAAAGCAGGAATTTAGGATCGTTTTATATCCTGTTCCATAGTACGTGTTTGTTTCTCGTAGGTGGTATACCTACCAGTTTAAGTGTGAAATTGTGCAAGTGACGAATGGAATTATGGTATCCTTGTCATTAATTGTACCCAACAGTCAACACTCTGTCGAATTAGTAAGGGATGAATAGCTTATCTGTTGATGGATTCGTACGGCCCACCTCCGATCTTAAGGTAAGACTGCACGGTTGATGACGGACCGTGAATGCAGGTGACACCCTTAACAGTTAACAGCCACACTCTAAATACCCGACGGGCATCACCCCGAGCCAGTCCAACACCGGACAGGCCTTATGGCTGTGACGAGTGAGCCAACGCGTTACTTAACCGCTGTTATGGCTCGATATGATTGTACTGAACCACTGGCGACAACGTAACTTTATTGACCGTGGTCAAATTCTTTTAGCGTTCCTCATGACGCGCGCTATAGGCGTATTAGCAAACAAGTGTTGATTAATGTTCCCGCCAAGAGTAATAAATGGTGCTACGCTGCTCCTACGTAAACTAATTTTTTACTTTCGCTTGCACATTTTCGTGAAAACACTTCTTTTTGCAGACAACAGGCGCATCAGCCAGTCTGGTAAAAAATCAGAATGCACTTGATAGTTGCACAATCTGTCTATTGATTTCTCCGCAGGAGATGAGAGACAATTGACAGATATTTTGACAGATACCCGACAAAAGTTGATGTCAGGTGTGTTGAAAGTTGCAGTTTTCCGATGGAAGGTCGCGTTGAAGTCTCCCGCGCATTCCTAACTAGTGTTAATTGCGTGTAGAATGTTGAATTTCACGTTCATTCATTTACATATTCTACGCTATCGTTAATCATTTTCCTTCTATTATGACGACTCGATACTTTCCGCGTTGTGTGCTATGATTACATTGGAATAATTGAAACGAATAATTGGAAATATTTGATCTGCCTGAGACAGACGATGATATTCATGCGTGACTCACCGTTTGATATTGGTGGGTCCGGCTGGGGTAGCACCAAGGCACCAGTCCGGGTCTTCAGCGAGAGAATAACAAACCGAGTGAACTCGACAGCAGTTTGACAAACCGAACTGTCATCTGCACCATCGCAGTTGTTGAGATAAGTGATCAACAGAGCCCAAAACAGCAGTCGTGGGGGAAATGAGACATGGTGACGCATCTTTACGATGATGAGCTTTGAAGTACGGGATGTCTTCAGGTCATCAGAAAGTCTTCAGAAGGCTGAAGAGGCCTCTTAGGGTGCTACATCATGTGGCGGACTTGAGACGCTCTCCCGGTAAAGGACGCGCTCAAAGCCACCCATATTCGCACCAAATGACACAGCCTACGGTACAGAGCGTGAAGTCTATCACCGCAAGAATAACAGGACCAATCTGGATAAACTCGAGACTGGCGGTGGTCGTGAAGTCTGTCCACCGTCACCACCGGAGTCTGAGACACAAGTCTGAGGCAAAAGTCTGATGCACCGTGGCACCCGCCGGCGTCAGACTAACTCCAACTAACCCCGACTAACCCCGAGCGTCCCCAGTCGCCCGTCACTTCCCCTCGCTCCCACAGCTCCCCACTGACTGAAGGCCCGCCCCAGCCGACGCCTCAGGGCTGCCCCGCGGCCACCAACTATTGACAGCTCTGACGACGCATATTGCTTCGAACGCACGGTGTGCTTATAAAGTTTGGCTACTGAATGGAGAGTGATACCATTAAATGGCCACATCAGATCAATATCCACTTCACAGTTGACTGTGAAAGTTTTCGTGCATTGCGTTGCTGTGACTGACAGTTTGAATAGAGGGCACGAAAGTCACACAGAAAGTCACAGAGTGTTTTGCCAACAATGTCAATGTCAATGAAACCTTTTCAAATGCCAATTATTAAAGATTATTTTCCTTGTTTGCAATTGATTAGCTTAGAGTTATCAATTTTAGTCGTGTTTGTAACAAGATGCCACCCGATCAAGGATAAAAAGCCATGTGAGACAGCAGTGGGTGAAGTTGAATTATAGGGAATGAGTTGCTTGAGATGAAGTGCATGATATCATCATGTCAATTTATACAACTCATCGAGTGAATTTTGTTTTCTAAGAGTCGTTTCTCGGATGTTTTTTTTAAGCTCGTTGGATATGCATCCCTGATTGCTTCCTGATATGTTTATACAGCGTAGTAGGATACGGTGTGATTTATAGCAGCACAACATATCCCAGCTGCATTTTGTTCTGAATTTGTGATCATGAATCGATCATCAGTTTCATGACGTGCCTCTAAAATTCATACTCAACCGTAATATATTTGGACAATGCATGCACATATTTCTGCCCCTGAGTAACATATGTAGATGGACCGATAGCACGAATAATGGAAAGATCGCCATATAGTCACTACGCTACAGAACACACACCCTTCATTCGCCAGCTCCTTCTGAAATCTCACTTAGCACCGTCCGTATGTAAATATAAAGGAACAATGTCTACCAGCGGCCATCCAGTCATCGATATCGAGGCATGCAGTATTCAACGATGCACCGATGCTGTATATGCTTTGCTTAGCTAAAAAAAAAAATGTTTCCTTTGTCTTGTCGCATAGTGATGTTGTTGACTCCCGACTTTACACGCTCGATACACATGGGCTCTCAGTTTGGTGGATTCTTTCATCCTTCATCACTGCTTTTTCTCTTCTAATCGGTGTTCCATGAAGAACTGCACCTGCTTTTCGGACCTCAGCACACGGGGCTGTTTGAACTGAAGCAGGAATGTGGAGGAGCCACTGATGAGCTGGTCACGATACTTGGAGAAAGTTCCAGGAATCACCGACATCACCTGCAAGGAAGAGGCCGAGTGAAAAAAGACGAAATGTAAGGAGAATATTCATACACGCTGTCTCGGGAAGCGAAGACACATTCCAGACCACTTCATGCGAATTTATCATCACAAGCCAGGCTAGTCAATGCATTCTATATTTAAGCAGAAGCGTCTAGCACTATAAGGAACGCGTACTGCAGCTCACTTCGATCCAAAACAGTCGCAGCTAGCCGTGTGGTACCTGTATGGTACTCAGGTTAAACGCACATTACAGGTGCTTTGCCCCACGCCCGAGAGGGTGCATTACCCGTAACAGCACATTTAAAACAAAGTTCGTCGACTCGTAATGCGTCACGAATATGATTATATAACAAGCAGCGCTACATGCCCAAAATAGCTGGCATTCATAGCTTAAATCCGCTGGTTTGACAGGCTTTTTCATTGGTTACTTCAATCTGTATCAGTCAAAGTTTAAGCTTTCAGAAAGCGTGACATTAAAATTGCCCATTTTGCAAAATGGATTTGCTCCAACATAGCATTTCGGCATCGTTTAGAATTGCAAATATTGGATTTAGTGCTAGCTAAAGCCATACATACGCTTATTTTTTGCATGAAGTGAATAGTATCTGAGAAAAAACGCACGTGAAATTTCGTTAAAGCGATTTATATGTGACATGAAAGCGTAGTGATTTTCTTACGTCCAAAACTCATCAGCTAGGGATCCAAAAAAGGAAGTAAATGCAAAATTCCCCACGTTCTGGAAAATGGCTATTGAAAAAGTAAAACTGTAAAATGTTCAGCACTTCATAGAAATGCAGGCAAGCATGCAAGGCAGGCGTTTGAAGCGCTTTTATAACACCCTGCTCTGTCCCAGGTACGTGATAAATTATATGACATTTTATGGAGCTTGCATTGAAATAAAGCGAATAAGTGTTTCTCCGGAGATGTCTTACCTTCATTGGGCCAATGGCGTTCTTGACCCTGAACGACTTGTAGACATAGTTTTGTTCGCAGAGCTTTTCGTCGATCTGTGGGTGATATTATTCAGTTATGTAAAGCAAAAATCGCTTATATGCGGCACAGGACGATGCATTTACACTTTCTAGAATTGCTCCTTGAAATAGGTATCGGTGATATTTCATGCTAATCGAATTTCTTCGAGCAGAGGCCTTTGTTAACTTCACGGGATACTTTTCAGTCAGATCGCCGATAATTGTGCCTATATATCTAGATGATATCTAGTATTGTCATTGCTAAACTTGTTATTTTCCCCTGTCACATTGTCCATGACTCCTAGCTGAGCTATGAAGAAGACTACGACAATGCTGATCCGAAAGATATCCCCACCGATCGCACTCACCCTCCCAAGATCCTCTGCTCTAAAAATCCTCACCATGTTCTTCTGCTTCTCCGTCGGGATGCCTCCCTCCGTCTCCAAGAACACGAGGTAGTGCGGTGGCTGGCCGTCAGCTCCTTCACGGGAGAGCACACTTTCAGCAGTGGTGAAGTCGAGCAGTTTAATGCCACCCCAGCAGTGTACTGCTGACTCCAGTGAGCTGGTGAAGCTCTGTTCGCTGAGCTTTTCGAAGTTGACGTTCAGCATCTGGCCGTTTCTGAGGGAGGTGAGGTAAGGGTGTCCACGTTGATCAATGTGACCCAGGTCAAATATGTGGCCCCGATTTAGAGCTAAAGTGAAGGCAAGTTATACCTATCAGATAATGTCGGTGAAGGAGTTAGAGAAGGAGAAGGAAGGTAAGGAGCGTGTTATAGTATAGAGCTGGTAGAGCTAAGGAAAATATATGAGTTTAGTTGTGGGACGAAATTTAAATTTAAAATTCAGAACCATTCTGTGTGATTTGTTTTTAGAAAAAGCAGTGAAGCACTGGTCAAACTTATCAAGGTATTTCAAATGATGGTTGGCTGCATGTCAATCAAAGGACTTGCCACTTGCCACATCCAAATAAAAACCGCGATACAGAACATGGAGAGCCGCAAAGATATCCACCTGAACATGAAGTCGACCAGCGGTATCTGGTTGAAGAAGCCTACCACCTCCACGATGTCTCCGAGTCTGTACCGGTAGAACCCGGACACGTTGGTGATGATGATCTCGTACATCTTGCCCACCTGTAAACCATAAAAAAATGTTTTTAAAGACAGAGGGAAGAGGTTTACTGAGATTAGAGCACTTGCCTCTTTTGAAGAAAGACACGCAAAACAAACTGATAGGCACAATTATATTACATTGAATGCGTTTACCGATTCCCACAAGCAAATGTAAGCAGTAGGGGTAATAACTTAGCTATCTACTATAGAGTAGGGGTAAATTTTTGCTCGCCTTCCTATATGACGTTCATGTGAAGTCAGAACATACATGGAGCTGTCTCAGTCTTCCTATATCCTTCACAACAAATCAAAAACCATCCAGTCTATCTAAACTTCTTGCGCTTCCCCAGACTGACCTCGACCTCGTTTGCCTGTACTGGCTGCGCCCCCTCTGCAGCCACCCCCTGGTCGTCGACAGGCAGGAACTCCAGGTATGCTTCACTCGGCACCAGCACGTAGCCGGGTCGGTCTCTGCCGTGGCGGATATTCATACCCAGCAGACCTTCAGTGCAGATGTAGATCGCTGAAAGGGAAGTTAGACGTAACGTTAGTAGAATATAAAGAGACGTGTCAGAAGGGTGAAATGCTTTAACTGTACTGGTGGATGGTGGATAGGTGAATGGTGCATCATGGCATCGGTCAATTTTGAGATTGTCCAAAGTTAGTCAAGTAAAGGCTAGTAAAGTAGTGACAGAAGTGTCCCCTGAACTTCAGATAAATCTGCAGCTTCAGGCAAAGTCAGACAACAAAGGTGCCAGCGGTTATTGTACAATGTCGCTTTGGTACCCTATCACTCAAGTCTAGCACATATTTTTAGATCTACGAGTAGACACCTACATACTTTGCCTTGGACAGGCTTTGTCAGGCATGAATGGCTGTCAGGGGAACACTTAGGATTTTCACACAGAAGGTATCCCAGTACCAAACCCACATCTCTGAACCCCATCTTTCTTCAGGAGCGCTCACGTGAGTGGATCGTTAGGTCTCCGAGGTAGGGACGACACCGCTCCTTGTAGACGGCCATTGACGACCCCGAGCTGTTGGAGGCCACCAGGGACATTTTCGGGAAGATCCTCATCATGATGTTGTCGAAACCTGTAATATTGGCATGGTGTTGTAAAGAAGTTGGACCAAGCTCTGGCTTGGTAAATAGTTTGGGCGGTACCTACAGGTAAAGAATGCATTGAGTCAGTCATCTGCTTGATTCTTTGTGCATGACAAATAGCGTCGTTGCATTTGCCGTCCAGGACTTGCCTTGAACTGCAATGAATCGCTTGAACTATCCCTTGAACTAACGTGAATTGATTCATGATATGATATGTACGAAGGTCAATAATTTTCACTCTCCTTCAATGTAACCTTTCGAAAACAGAGTACATGTGAGGTCATGTTACACATTGAAGCCCTGCAGGAGCGACCACTGACACTGCGAAAAACGGCAGCTCCTACCAGATTGCCTTTGGAGAATTTTTACATTACCTTTGGAAAACTCTACTTCCAGCTGAGCAGCACGTTCCGGCTCTGGCTGCAGCAGTTCGTTCAGCTTCTCCCGGACCTCGGGCGTCACGTTCACCTTCTCATCCAGCCTGCCTCTGCGGAGATCCCGCACAAGGCTCTGCCAGTGGTCCTCCAGAAACTTGAGCAGCGTGAACATGTTGGACGCAAACGATCCATCCAGTCGTTCCACATTCGGATCGCGTAGTCCAAACAGCAGTCCCACATACTTGGAGGCCTCCTGGTCGCCGATGGTCATCGCTTCTGGCGGCAGAGTTCCCAGCAGCGTGGCCGTCGGACTCTGCATTGCCGTAGCCATCACCGACCCGATCTTGATGCCGCTGTCGGTGAAGCGATATCGTGGAGCGCAGAACGTCGACAGCGAGCGACCCAGGCTGATCGGAAGGAGATCCCGCTGTTCTGAACCGTAGAAACCGGCTACCATGGCAGTGAAGTCAAGACCTCTGGTAGAGATTGGGATCAGCTTGGCCCGGCCGGTTGTGCCGGAGGAGCACCCGAACATGGCTGGGGGCTGGCGGTCGCCAAACATGGCACCGTAGTCGCCACGTTCCACTCGGGATATGTAGTCCTCGTAGTCGCTATAGGTGGTGATGGGCTGGGTGCGACGAAACTCCTCCAGGGAGGTGATGGAGGAGAAGTTGTGGGCCCGCCCGTAGTCGGATGATGCGTTGGCGCGGATCTGGTTGAGAACAAACTGTTCTTGCGTCTGTGGATTAGAGAAGTTGTTAGAGTAAGGAACAAATAGTGCTTGTGACATCAGCCTCGTCAATTAAATTGCATTGCGAAACTCTGCTTGCTTTCGCAGCCAAACATCAGGAACAACAAAACAGTATTTTCGTACAACATTGAACAGGTTTTGCAAGGCAAACCTTGCTAGCGAATAAGATGGCATCTGGAAATTATCCATTTGAGATGAAAGAAATGTTGCTGCAAGAATCTGCATCTTCATATCGTATTTTTCACATTACATCACACGTCCTGTTGGATGTTACCTGGAGAAGGTTTTTCGACTCCTTGACGAATTGCCGCCACTTGAGATAGCCAACCAGTCTGCCGCCACGCCTCAGAAGGTAGAGCAGGACGGCACGCTTCCATGGTAGATGGCGAGATCGCGGTAGGCGCAGAAAGTCGATGACAATGACAGCAGCTAATGCCAGGAGAGCTGCAAAAGGATGGACATTATGAGCTACAACAGGGCAGAGACAACTGCGTCTAAAAGGGGATCGATAGACACAAACTTTGTGTCAGATGAGTTGAAAGGGATCTAATTTTCATGTCCGTTAGTATGAGCCCGCTAAGAGAGGACTAGCGTAGCTAATTAAACTTTAACATCGATTTGCTTAGATGTGAACTTTCTCTTGGCTGGAGACTGGAAAATGAGAAAAAATGGAAAGCTGGAGACACAGCATGCTGCATCGTTTTAAATTTGAAGTATCTGAGTGAATCGGGGGCTATTTAGCGACTTTTCATCACAATTCGATAAGTACTACTCAGTTTTCATCTTCGAGTTATCCCCAATGCTGTCTTTATTGCTTTGAATATGTTCGTCAGTACAACTTTTCACCTACCTGTGGCAGCTGCCGAAAGTATCACCCCTACTACCCCCATGACGACGGAGCCTGTTCCCGACCTTCCCCACAGCTCAGAGGGACTTCACACCCTCCTCACACGGGGACCACAAACGTCGCACACTCGGTCCTTCGAGATGGGCAGAGGAAGCTCTCCGTCGAGCCCGCCTATCGGAGGAGCCGATAGGATATCGTGTGACCTGTATATCGCTCGGACTGTTGAGCTATTGGGTCGTTACCATGGCAACTGCGGCTTAGAAGCTTTTTCGGATTGGTTAGTTTTTTAACGCTTTAGATTCCTTTTAATTGCCTAACTAATGCGGTTCGAAAATATATATCACACCGTCCTCACTTCAACTGGTTGTCAGTGTGGTGCAAGACAGGAAACAAATCGACAAAAAGTTCATTTCATTTCACATGCTGCCGCCTGCCATAGGCGTATGGTGCCACCCTGTTACATAGAAATGAATGAATGAAAACAAAAACTAGCATTTCTATAAATGTATGACCTTTGCCAGTATCCGTGCTTATAGTCGAGATGATTAGAATATTGGTAACAAAGATTACTAACTGAAACTGTTCCTTCTTCCCACCAAATGTTGATCGGATTTCCTCGACAGTCATTTATGCCAGTGCGTCAACTATACCCTTACTGCCGAGTGCCGATAGCTTTGGTCAGCTTTAGTCAACCAAAACAATTTCAGCTCATTCGACTAAGCACTGTATGAAATTATATCGATCAGCACAAACATATTTTTGAATCATAATACGTTCTACGCTGCATGAGAAATAAGACATTAAACGGCGTAGTTTAAATGGTCTGTCAACCTATCATGCTATCTCGGAGTCAGTTCTCAACGACCTTTGAATAAGCTCGATGCCCGCAATGTCCTTAGATATACGACTTTGCGATCCGACCTCTCCGATAGCCGTCCGCTTTGTGAGTGCTATACAGCTGTGAAGATGACAAGCTACCTTTGGTATCTACCTACTACCTGAACGACTAAACAGCCGATGTTACGTAAGGCGTATATGCAGTCATTTACGCAATGATGTAACAAAAAGTGGAAGTGGAAATAGCACTTCTAGGTCTACCTACTAGAGATAGAAACTTAATAGTTGAAGGTTGAAACCATTTTTATTTGTTGATGCCATATCAATACCAATCTATCATTATTTGTTATGAAGATATATAAGTATTCACATTATCTGGATTCATTGCCCGCGAATGTTCATAAGATATCAACAACTTTCCACGGAATCCTAACGTTTTCCTCAACCACACACACACAGGGCACACACGCACACAAACTTCATATGCGTTATAAATACCGTGATCGATCACGAGAGCTGTCGACTACCCACCAGTCAAACAACAAATTATTCGTGGTAGAGTCCTATCATCTCAATAGACGTCCGGATGACATTCGATCGGACCATTGGGGCTCAGACGACCCCTGGGGGCCCCGCGGGGTCAAATGTCACGGGCACGGCCGTGACTCGGGTCCTGCGCGCCACACGGTCACGCGTCTCCATCAATGTCAGCGTGATACGGACACCGTGACCAATGTCAGTCTTTGCTGTCAGATTGCTTGACAGTACTGAGCGGACGTGTAGGACACTTGTCAGGTGTAAGTATGGATGAAATCAGGTGCAGAGGCTCTCAAATTTCAAGCGATGGTTATTGTGTTCACTAAACAGCTCAAATTCAATTTGCTTTGAAGCTGTGCGGTAATTTGATGTGTTGTTTGGCTGAAGCAAATGTGTTATGATAAGGCACGTACAATAGTGATCACGGCATATTACATAAATCAACAATGGAGCCCGTGATTGAAAGAGTTCGGTGGATACTTCTTTATTAACCCGCGCCCCATTGAGGTCTGGCAGGTTCCACCTCCTGCTGGGGGGGGGGTGCAAAGGCCCCCCCTTCGTATCTCCGGAACCAATAGCCGGATCGGAAAAATTCAAACAGCATTCGAAAGAGCTCATCGGGATGCATAAGATAGGCTATCGATGACCTTGATATTTGACCTGTGACGTCACAGGGAGGTCATAAAATGTCAAATCAGGCCAATATACAATGACGAGAAGTCGGTCATAAACATGAAATTTAAGTTTCCATAATGAGTCTGGACATGATGTATATGATAGATCTGGCACGTGGATAGTCACCTGAGTGGATGATGACCTGTGACGTCACATTGAGGTCAGCCTCGACCAATCAGAAAACACTTTCATGAGTCTTAGGGAAAGGCATATTAAATTGTGAATATTCGAGTCTTTATGAAAACATGTCCTATATGTATATGCAACCACAGAAACCTCTTGGACCATTTTTCTTCGACCTATGACGTCACAGGAAGGTCAAACAAGGTCAAATCGTACCGGTTTACAACGACAAACATTTTTTTTACGTAAAAGTGACTTTTCTCACGTGAAGGAACATATTAGCCCGCGCCCGGCTGGGGGTCCTGGATTTCCACGCCCTGCTGGGGGGGGGGGGGGTGTTTGAACACCCCCCCCTTCTAACTCGGCTCCTGGGCCACGTAGCGATACGCGGAAGGCGGCGTTCGAAAGAGCGTCAAAAATAATGACGAAATCACTTAGGTCAATTTTTTGGTCAGGTCAAAGGTCAGGTCACCAGAGATCATTGAAGGCAAAATTCCGCCGATTTTCAGGTCGAATGTCGACAATTTCCAAGAAGCCCACGCATAACTCGGGAACCAATAGAGCTACAGCGCCGCGGAAAAACGCATTCGATAGCCCTATTAACGCCCTTTCTAAGTAATTTTCTCAGATTTGACCTAACGTCAACGGTTTTGCCTGCAGGGGGCAAAAACTGCAAAAATAGCCGATTTTTTCGGAGACAGTTTTTCTGCAATAACTTTTGACCCAAGCCTTGTACGAGCTTACTTTTACCGGCATAGTGTTCCTCTTGTCAAGACGCATCGAATGAACTATAACTTGACCTTGAAAGGTCAACTTGAAAATTTGACCTCAGGTCAAGGTCATGACCTGACCGGAAAGGGTCATGTTGCATATCAGTCGATCCGTATCGTCGAGCTGAACACATCTAAGGCGTTTTCATCGTTCTAGCATGCCTCTATCAAAAGTTATTTGCGAAAAACTGTTAGATACCATTCGTGACCTAAGATGACCTCAGGGCATAAACAGGGCTCACGGACACCATTTTCATGTTCAGTGTGTCTAAACCACTTGTAATTCAGTGTTTGGGAGTTTTTATAATGTCTTTCGTCCAAAAGAGGCGCATTTCAATTTTCTCCCATTGACTTATAATGGGGAGGTCGCAAAATGGACCTGACCTTAGGTCATCGATATCAAAATTCTGAGATATACATTTTGTACATGCTATTGTTCTTAGCAATCGCTGAAAGTTTCAAAGCGATCGGTCACTCGGTGTAGCTATGACAGACATTGAAACTTTTTATGAGGTGAGGTCACTTCAAGTGACCTGGTGACCTGACCTTGAATAACCTTGGTCTGAAATTTTCACAACATGTGTAGAATTGATGTATGATAAGGTATACCAAAAACGCCATGTTTTAGATATTCGCGAAAAACCACAAGGGGGGGGGGGTGTTCAAACACACACCCCCAGCAGGGCGCGGGTTAAGTCAAGAAGAGGTTGATAAGTATTATAAATATTACTCCTGACTGATTCCAAGCACAAATACCGAAAATATTGTGACGTCATAAAAACGGTTGCTACTTTTTCAGTCATTCAAATGGCTATATCTCTGGCAGTTTTAGAGATATTTTGTTAACTTTTGGCAAGGGTAACGCCCATAAGGGGTTTTCTGACATATTCCGGTTTTTCAAAAGTTTCCCCAAATTTCAAAAATATCTCGAGAAGTCTAAATTTTGAGTTAGAATATCCCTAGAGCTAAGGATTTCTATATTTTGGAAATTTTGAGATAGCCATTTTGTTTGCCATACTTTTTATACCTACGATCCAATTTTTGAGTCGCTAAGTAACAACCCTGATTTTCTGCGATTTTTCTCCGTGAACAACTTTTTCGACGACAAATCGCCGAACATGACCTCAGTTTGACCTCAATAGCTCGTGACCTGAGATGACCTGGGACCTAATTTTTCAGAAGTTGTGTAAAATTGATGTCCGGAGAGGTACTGAAAGTTTCAAGTCGAAATTCGCAGTCGTACCTGAGTTATCTGCGAAAAACCACAGGAAGGGCCCTTTGCCCCCCCTCTCCCAACGGGTCGCGGTTTAATAAAGGAAATATATCACTTTAAACATGAAGTTTTGAACTGGAATAGCAGTTTTGTAGCATGAGCAGAGACTAACACGAATCAGGATCTTTTACGCCCCAACGATCACCCATAAGGCAAAGATATTCTATTTCTCGTTCCGAAAAGAGTGCCTTGTGGAGGAATGTCCTGCCTTGTAGAAGAATGTCGAGAAAGCAGCCACCTGTCGCAGAGGCTAAGCTCAGTCAATCTGCGTGCAGTTGTTTTTAAATAAGGCAATATTATTGGTCAACTAATATTATTAATAAGCTTCCGAGACACCACTATTTAGCCTCTACAATAGATGGAATATAGTTCTTCCTATGCGAACAGCGAAAAGTAAAAATTTCTCTTGTAAATAGTAATCATTTTCTTTTCCGATCATTTTAAGCATTAAAAATCATTAACCCGCGCCCTGCTGGGGGGGGGGGGGGGTGTTTGAACACCCTCCATTGTGGTTTTTCGCGAATATCTCAAAAACGGCGGTACACCTTATCATACATCAATTCTACACATGTTGTGAAAATTTCAGACCAAGGTCATTCAAGGTCAGGTCACCAAGTCATGTAACACGGCGGTTTCTCGTGCCCAGGGCGGGGCGCGCCGGTGTTGTTGTCAGCCCTTTACCAGAAGAGATGCTCTGCCGGTCCAGGTGTATTGTCGAGCACAACACAGAGCGAGGTGGTCAGCTACAGTGTCGGTCGAGACCGATGCAGGTACACGTCCGGCCTCAGTGGCCGCCGGGGGTCTTCTCCCAAGCACGCGGAGCAGATGTTATGCGTCCAGCGGCTGTGGAGCCCTGTGGTCTTCCCGGACTGGTAACACGTCCGGCGCCGATGGTGGCTCTAGGTCTTCTCCCCCGTTCCTCCGTCCGGGAGGCCAGAGCAGAAC